CCGTGTTTTTGTGCTTGGTGTGGGGGGGGGGGGGGGGGGGGGCGGCCTTTATGCCACCTTGGACTTACAGGGATAATTATTTAAATCTTACCAAGAAGAATTCTCGAAGACCAATTTTTCCTTTAAAATGATTCTCTCCGTCAGCTACATTGGTTTTCAAAATCTAAACAGGCATATTATTAAAAAAGCCTAGGTTGGTATTTTGGGAAAACGCATCAACACCGCTGTGGGATATTGTAAACCTCAACATATTTAAAAACACATTTCCATCCAGGAGTGAACAAGACAGTTTCAACAGGACTTCTGATGAATCACATTTAATAACAGTCAAATCAAATGTCATTTAGTATTGAGGAATCTGCAGGGCCACTGCATTTTTTTTTTAAGGTGTTCAGGGGTGGAAGTGTTTCTAGTTAACAGGGAGCTTCTATTTTAGCTCAAAGAGAAAGCTGGCTTCTTTCAAGAAAATCTTCCTCTAACTTCTCTCTCTCTGCATGTTTTCAGTGTTGAGCACAAACATCATCTATAAAGTTAACACCTATTCCTTGCTGCGTTTTATGTTATCCTTGCAGCTATAACGGGATCTAAAAACTGCCCTAAAAAAACCCCAACTCAGACCTTTCCGGAGGATGAAACGAATAACCTGGGATCATACTACCAGCACTTGTGAAGATCAGCACCAGTTGATGAACTCGCCAAGCAGTTAAATTCAGGTTCATGGCCTCCAGAATATTACCTGGTATCTTCCACACAATCTCAGTCTAGGTAAGCAATTCCCCTCCATTGCCACAGTCCTTGAGGGGAAAGAACCATATTCCTTTCCAGAACAAGTGAAAGGAAATACCAGGCTGGAAGCCATTTAAAGTGACTTAACAATGGGAGTGAAGACTGATGTACTCTATTATGGTACTATACTTAAATGTAAGGCATAGAGACAATGGAGTTCAGACTTGTCATTTCCCATCCTCACGTACTACCGGAGGCATTTTTCATAAGGGAGTTTAGCCTACGTACTGAAATAAGAAGTCACCACGTAAGTAATCCTGAGGGATTTACAGAAGATGAACAATAGAGAGAAACTGAGTTTTTCCAGCAAAACGTTTTCCAAAGAACAACTTGTTAAAAATGAGAGCTTCCTTACAATCCTAAACTATCAGAGGGTGAAGGTAAATTTCCTGCAGTCTGACTGGTGCTAAATAAATACATAAATACATAAATAAATAAATAAATAAAATCTTGCCACGGCAACAGGAGCTGAAGCAGGAAATATAATTAGACTACATGAATAAGAAAAGTCTTCCTATACATCACGAGTCATATTTAGGAAGCAACACAGCCTTAACAAGGGAAAGGTCACCAAAAAGAAAGTCCTTTCCCTGCATCTCCTTTATTGCATAAAAGGCCTTCAGATGGTGCAGAAAATTGCAAATGAGCTGTAGCTTTCTCTCCCCTCAAACACAGCACAGGAAACAGCTGTATGTGTGTAAATGCCTGGAATATGCAAGCAAGTTTACCTGATTTATTGCTGGTTCCTCTCCTGATCTCCTCCCTGTATGATTAATCATTTTGTTACAAGTGTGTTACAGCTTTTAAGCAAAAGAATTTGAAAGGCATAGCAATCTGTTACCAAAACTTCTATTAAAAAATGATCCAGTGGAAACAGACTACCTTTAGCCTAATTTCTTATGGTGCTTTTCAAAAGACCCATAATTAAGCAAAATTATTCATTTGAGGGATGTCCAAGAAGTACTTTTAAGCAAACTATTCTCCACAGTATATTCAGGGAAAGAGGCTGATTACAGCAGGCTGTTTGCACATGCTGAAAGAAGTGGATGGATCAGAACATGTCTGAATAGTCTCTCCTAGTGAACTGGAGAGCTCATTACAGAAGCCAAAATGTCCATGACCCCATAGAGCTGTAAGTGTTTAAGGCATTTAACTATAAAACACCAAGAGAAAGCTAAAGGCTGCATGTTTCACCCAAACAATATTTTACCAGCAAAATTAACAAGTTTTTCTAAACATACATTACATATGAGAGAAGCCCAAATATAAATCCAGATTAATCTCACTAGCTAGATTAAACTGCTGTCAACGCAAATTAATGTAACATAAAACTGGGGAGGAAGGATGAGTCAGTGGCTAAAGCATCAAGGGCCGCTCTACACATGCAGGTAAAGGCATGATGGGATCTAATGCGTGATCCACACAGTTGCACTTCCTGCCATGCCACACTTGCATAGTGGCATAACCGTGAGATCGCAAATCAGATCCTATCACACGTTATTGCCGGTGCAGGGAGGCTGTATACCAATACAGCAGAACATGTCTGTATACTGATGATGTAAAAAAAAAAAAAAGAGACTCTAAACATACCAGATATGTTGCATGTACAACAAAGTGGCCCAGCTCCATGTATTATTAGTCTGTCTGGCCTGTAGCAGTGTCTAATCCCTAACTAGAGTTCAAATTCAGTTATCCCAATTTTGCATACAATTTAACAAACTGACTTTTTTTTTTTTATTTTGCAGCATCAAGATCAACCTTAAATGACAAGTCCAAACCATTACTTTATCACTCAAGAATATAGAATTTGAGAGAATGAATAATATGCAGTACTTTAGAGAAAAGGATGCATGGCAGACCCTCACTGGTTTATTGCTATGAAAGAGCTCATCAAAATGAATAAATGAAGAAAAAGGTGGGCAGGCCAAGACTGCAGTGCAGAATATATTGTAATAGATGCACAGACATCAGGGCCGGAAGGGACCTGGGAAGATCATCGAGCCCAGCATCTCAACCTCGGTTCTGAGGAAAGCTCCCGTATAACAGGGTAAAAACAACCAGATTGAAAAGTGAAGCCATGCTAGAATAACACAGACTGAAGGCTACAAGATTCAGAGCTGTCACTCAGAAATGGATTTTTTTTTAAGTACTTATAGGAATTCCCAATATTTTGGTTCATTAAAAAGATATCCTGGAACACACAACTGCAAGCCAGGGCATGGATTTAAAGCAACACAATTAACCTCTTTTAATTCCAATTAATTAGGTCTACATATTTTCATCCTGCCTAACTGCAAGTTACAAAACAGAAAATAAAATAACCAGCCTTCCTTTTACCCAATAGTATATATGAACCGGCCAACATGAAAGGTATTCCAATATGACAAATTTTAAAAACAAAATAATTAGATTCTCCTTTTACTTGACAAGACAGTTATAGGATCAAGACATTAGGAAAATGCTTGTACCAACTGTCTCATTTGGTTTTGGGGAAAATAACTTGAAACCACACATGAAAGTTTTGAAAGTTTTCTTACTCTGTGAGGGAGAAACTGGTCATATATTTATGACAATTTAAACAAAGTTGCTTTGAACTTTTTGAAATATTCTATTACAATCTTATTAAAGATATCCGTGTTACTCATGAGTCCTTAAAAATTAAACTTGTTTTCAGCTGGCACTATAGTACTTCGGTAATGAAGCCAGACTATGCTTGTTATAGCCAACAGTTCTGGTAACTGAAAGTGCAACACTAATAGGAATGTAGTTTCATAACAAACCCTGTGCTCTGGTTTTGCATTAAGGCATCCAGAATTAGGCAGTTAATTTTATGAACCATTGCATATTACTCTATCACTACAGACCAGCAAACTCCGTTTTTCTTCTCTAGGAAGAAGAGAAACTGTCTGAACACTGGCTCTTCCACCATTTCATTTATTAAAAACAGTCGGATGTAAATTTATACATTTGTACTTTCTGCATCGTTAGGCAACTCCCTGAGAGTTCTGCGTACAAGAATAATTTAGTCTTCCTTAAATCTTGTGTGGTGAGCTAGGAGTTATCACAAACACTTGGATGATTCATTTGAATATTGCAAATCTCTTCTCCCTCTGCAACACATATCCTCTGAGTAACAGTTTTGCCAACTGGGACCAAGTGAAGGAGT